TCAGCCAAAACACCTTTGAATAGTTACAACTGCCGAGCATGCCAACTGCAGCCATTGGCTGCGTTCAGCAGACTCAACAGTTGTAACCGAGAAAATCGGTAGCTGTTATGTAGCAACCTGAATCTCCTAAACGACAAGTAACGTATGCGTTGGAACCAAAAACCTCATCGGTCAGTTTCGGGTAGTGATAGGTAGCATAAACAAAAGACGCAGCCAAATGGACATCAAAACACCAAACTCATTCCGAAAGAGCGCTACCGTAGAGGGCGCTCGACAGAAAAATACTCAACAGCTTCAGAACTGTTGAGTCTACTGAATGCAGCCATTCATTGGCAATACAATTGTTTTGAATAAAATAGATAATATTTGTTGGAAATCTATTTACTTTTACTCATTTTCCTCTTTTTAAAGAACAGTAATAATATTTGCAGTAATTTTCAAGTTTTTTTTAAAGCTACACCCTAATTTTACTTAGATATAAAATATATATATATAACCAATTCTTCTTTACTTAATATCAAATCAATGCACTAATGGAAGTTCGCAGAACTTACTGTGCTTTTTCTGTGTAACATTTCTTTCACCATAGCGTCGACCAAACGCTCTCTCTCTTCGTGATATCTTCGCTGCTGTTCTAATAAAGTCTCCATGTTTATCACTCAAAACATCGATAAACAAAATGGTTACCGTAAAATCAGTGTTGCCAACTACCTTTATTTATTCGTTGTTGCCAACTATCCTTATTAATTACATATGATCGACTTGATGACCGGATATCTGAAATGCTTTTTTATTTTATTTTAATTTTGACTCTGTTTATAAATTACTTCCTCGTTTTCTTCTTCTTCTTCTTGTGTCGATTCCGGCCATCTTTGGACCACGTACAAACAACTAATTATGACTTGCTTTTCCCTCTTCCCTTCCCTTTGTTCTTCTTTCTTTCTTTCCAATACCTCTTCATTCTCTCGCTCTGCTGTTGTCTTTGCTCCTCGTTTTGTTATTTTTGTTTTGAAATTTTTACTCCCCCTACCCTCATTGTCCCAGTTTGTTCAAGTTTCCGTAACTCCTTCCCCTCTTCGGACGTCAAACGAAACTCAACCCCTCCTCAAAACCTTTATCACTTTATGAATAATAAAATGCATAAACTGTAGAAAATTTGATGAAATAAAACGGACGTCCATTGAAGTTTAAAAAAACGCAATGACCAATTTATTAGGAAAATTTTTCGCAGTCAATATTTTTACGGTTGAGGTTATCGGCAAATCTGTAGAGATGCCCATTTGCTCGATTTTTTATGTACGATCTAAACATATCCATGCACGAAACTGGCTGGTGTCGTAGAAAATAAACGAAAACATCGACGCGCGGCAGTTGTAAACAGTAAGTAGCGCGAAAACCTGTGAGTCCGATGCTTACCCACTGCTCTTGAAAGCAGACATCAGAAAGCAGTAGATGTTGACTTTTCGAACAAGTCCGGATCCGTACGTTGTCGACAATATTCTCATTCCAAATACACTTTCATTTATCTTCCCTCGTTACCATTTGTCAGATTTCACTGCCGTCACGACAATGGTGCCGAACGTTTTCTCGAACGCAACCACAATTCGAAAATTTCCAAGTTTCACACCAAGACCGCATTGCTCAACTGAAAACACAAAGATAATCGATTGCAGCCGTGAAAACGTTACTTGGCAGCAGATGATGAAAGAATGCAAACGAGCTGCAAAAGCGTTATGAACGTCGGGGGCGTAGTTCAAATGCTAACGCGTTCGCTTTGCATGTGAGAGGTACCGAGATCGATACTCGGCGTAGTCATCGTATTGTAAATTTTCCTCCGCCTTCGTTATACCTGGAAACGTGGTACTCACGTATATCTTTGCTACCGACTTTATATTTACGGTGTAGCCTACTTGCAGCCTGCTTCCGAAACGATATGAATTTCGGACACACATTTTGGCGAACCGAAAAGTTGCGAAAGGGAATTTTTTTGAGCCAGATATATGACAGAGTAAATTTTTGTTTAAATTCCAGAGAATTATTTGATAACTTTAGCAAAAATCTGAAAAGTACTTCGAGAATTCGATCACATCGTTTATTCAAATGATGTGATCGAATTCAAACCGGATATAATGAGAATGGGCGGACGATTTTAGAAATCAGATTTAAAACCTGTATCGATCTCGGTACCTCTCACATAGTAAGCAAGCGCTCTACCATCTGAACTACATCCCCGACAACTAAGTGGCTGAAATATCCTATAAACAGTTTAGCCTACTCTATTGGGCGTTTGCAACGCAGAAATGAATGTAGAAAATTACTGGTACTAAAAGTAGGCTAAGCGCATTTTGCAATCAATTGAATGCGTCAACGAGAAACGTTTTGTTAACCGTTCTAGCGTTCTTCCTGAACACTTTCACTGCAGTTTACGACGACACGTCGGATGTTTATAAAATTCGCAAGAGTCAATTTGCAAATAATAAGCACCGTAGATAGCCGTGTACGGTGCTTATTATTTGCAAATTGACTCTTGTACGAATAATTAATTGTAATAGAATGAAGCGCAGACCGATACATACATACCGGTCGCGGTACTCGTCGTTAGCGTCATTTACAAGTGTGGAACGGAAAAACGAATTACTTTTTGAGGAGCCAAAAATTTATTCCTTGCAGACGTTTGTAAAAATAACAGCAGCAAATGGAGATGCCGAGCATCGATCTCGGTACCTCTCGCATGCGAAGCGAGCGCTCTACCGATTGAGCTACATCCCCGCTATCCTAGCCACGTGAAATTTCTTCCATATTCGAATTCACCGAGGCACTAACATTTAAAATAAACGAATACTTTTAAAACGAGAATCGAAAATTGTCGGCGCAATAAAATTCGGCGTCTACAGTTGAATCAAAATTACTTTTGATAGTTTATGCTTCAATTTATCGTAACATTTTAGTTAAAGTTAATATATTTAACAAAAAGCGGCTCGGAAAACGAACAATAGGCGAAAGAATTTTTAAATTATTTTAAAATCCTATAACTGTTTAAGGTTTATATGTTTATTTCAAAAATATATACTTTAAAATTGGAAATTATACATGATGCACGATTATTTTTTATAAAATTTATAGAAACTTAAATTTATAGAAACATTTTTAATTAGAATATTTTATACAATTTATATAAAAAGTTTCACAATTTAAATGGACCTATACTTGACCAAGTCCAAATATTAGGCCTAATAAGCAGCCATACTGTGCGATATCGGTACTTTTTTCCGATAACGATGTGATCATATTCGTTATCTGCAACCTTTTCGGTAAGTTTTACTTTTCGCCGCAAAAAGGAAGGTTATTCCTTATAAAATATCTAACGTTATAAACACCAAGGGCGTAGATATTTGTTTGTTTTTTTTTTTAATTTTAAACAACCATGTTAATTCAATATACGTATATAAGATAAATGGGCTGATACTTGACCGGGATCATTCTCCTAACTACGTGTAGATTCTGCCGCTAATAAAAACTCAGTTTTATCGGAAACTACCAGGCGATCGCTAAGTGGGGAGATTTCAACACTTTGTACCAGTATTTCATAAATGCACTTTTTGGAACTGCACGATTTCGACAAATCAGCTGGAAAGACATCTTTAAATCTCAGTAATATTTAACGAAGTGATTTCCGTCTGAACACATGTAAAACTGCTTGCATATCAACTTTGTCATTCGCGTGTGGCGAACGCTACCATCTTAACCGTTGTGAAAACAAATAACGAACCCCGGGTGTTATGTGTCATCACTTCCTAGAACGAGTCCGAACTCACCCAGTGAGACATGTACCAATATACGCGAGGAAGACAATAAATTCAGTTCTACTACAACCTCGTCTCATTTATTTTATCACGCGCAATGACGAAACAAACCGAACTGGATCTGATAATGTAAAAATTCCTTGCGTTCGAAACTGTGACTATTGTAAATCTTACAAAGGCAGGTGTTTCGCAAAAATTTTTTCGCCTATTGTTTGTTTGCCGAGCCGCTTTTTATTTCTATATTACTTACACATTGAAATATTATGTCAATTAAACACTGTTTTACTTCGGCTAAATTTTAACGCCTACATATAATTTTTTATTTTGTGAAGTTTACTGTTATATTACATTGTCTAAATATCGAGCTGTTTTGTATTACGCTTAACAAAAATTTCATTTTGTGGTTTGTTTATTTATCGAGGTATTACATAACCGCAAAATGAAATCTTTGCTAAGTATAGTACAAAAACCGCTTGATATAAGTTTAATTTATCTATCGGGATGTGTCCCGTCCTTCATCACTCAGGTACCATTGTGGCCTAGCCAAAATCAAAATAGGACTGCTAAAAAGACCCTCTTAGTGCTTTCAGAGCGGAAACAGTTTTAATGGGAAAAAATGTATGTCGACTGCTATCTTAGCCAACTGTGAGCTCTGCAAGAACTACTTTCTACGAGTCAAACAACCTTATCTTTAATAATCCCGGTAAGACCTGAACAGGGGCCAATTTCCTACAGAAAGTCCTCTTGGGAGGCGCCTCCTTGGCATAACGCCCGTGTATTGTATTGTATTATCCCATATCAGTACAATCTAAGATGTACACTTTATTTTCGATTATTATATTTTAGTCACACAAACAGCGAATTTCAGATTATTTTTTATTAATAAAAACATTGTTAAGATAAAATTCTACTATTAACACGAATAAGAATCGTATTTTATAAAGTACAGTATATTAAATATTGTTTTATACTGTACTGTAAAAAAAAATATACGAACACGACGTTAATAACATTGTCGTGACGCATTATCCCATGCTTAGATAATGTTAATCCAATTGGCCGACAAAAATATAATAAAGATCAATCGATAGGAGGATAAATTGTCGATTTAAATCACTCAATACGAGCGTGGAAAGAGAATCACGTGAGAAAATACTCCAATGAGAGAGCGATTGTAGTTAAATGTAATATTTACCATCGAGGTGGCTCCACCTCGCGAGAATGGCGGCAGTTTCTCTCGTATAAGCATAATGGCCGTAGTGTTCGTTCTCTTCGGAAGAGGCTACATTTTCGGTAATGTTTAGAAGTCGTTAACTTTTCTCCAGTTACAAAAAGAGAATTCTTTAAATTGAAACAAAAAGTCAACGACACAATACTCGCTATTAAACCGTAAGTGTTAATTTTATCATTAGCCTAATGAATGAAATGAATGAAAACTCGATCGTAGTACTTATTAGTACTCTGCAATGAGGAATGTAAACAAAAATATAGGAATTGTTAAATTTCAAGAAAAATATTAATTAAATGTGACTTCGTCGTATAATAAAATCACAATGAAGTAACAAAATATTATTTTGCATAGTCACAAAAATAGATCATGTGCATTATTAATTGTTGCAATACGTATAAAAAAAAACGTGTATTAATTTCATCAATTTCTCCCGCGAAAATCTGGTAAATCTTCAATTACATCATTTAAAATTCTCGAAGATTTAGCATTTAGTATATTATAGAGAAATCATATAAATGAATTATTATCTTAAATATGTAATGCAATTATCATAAATTGTCGTATTAAAATTACGATAGATAAAATGTCCTAATTTTTTTTAAAATAATTATTAATTAATTAAAAACTCATAAAATCTTCCTATTAGTTTATTTAATAATTTATTAAATTGCTATTTGTTGCTGATTGAGTATGCAAGGTTTATTTTAGAATTATTATGTTTAAAATATACAGTATATATATATATATATATATTTTTAAGTCTACTTGCTTATCGACTTTTTTCTGATAAATAAAATATTAACATTTGACTTAATAATATTCGCGACATATTCGTAAATAAGTTATAGAAAATTCTATCAAGTCGAATGTGATTGGTTTGGATTAAAGCGTGGATGGATGTTATTTTCTTTGATTTTTAAGCGTAGGATTTAAAAAGTGATGTTTCTTAGAATTTCTCCTTAATAGGAATTGTTTCGATTAAATATGGAGCGAAATCGTGACATTTTAACGTTTTTATTCGTGCGATAATAAAAGTGGTTTCGTGACCGATAATTGCGATTATCGCATTTACGATTTCTCTTTCGAATAACCGACTGATCGCTTTTCATTTTGGTTAAATATTTTTGTTTTTTTTTAAGTAATTATATTTGATTTTTCTAACAAAGAAGTTGTTATATTAATCGTCAAAAGTGGAAAACTAATAGCTATTGTTCTCCTATAATTGGTTTCCGGTGTTTGAATTTTACAATAAGTATCGATGTCGTTTTCATTATGTGCTTTATGTTATGGCCTAATAAGCAGCCATACTGTGCGATATCGGTACTTTTTTCCGATAACGATGTGATCATATTCGTTATCTGCANTATTATCTTAAATATGTAATGCAATTATCATAAATTGTCGTATTAAAATTACGATAGATAAAATGTCCTAATTTTTTTTAAAATAATTATTAATTAATTAAAAACTCATAAAATCTTCCTATTAGTTTATTTAATAATTTATTAAATTGCTATTTGTTGCTGATTGAGTATGCAAGGTTTATTTTAGAATTATTATGTTTAAAATATACAGTATATATATATATATATATATTTTTAAGTCTACTTGCTTATCGACTTTTTTCTGATAAATAAAATATTAACATTTGACTTAATAATATTCGCGACATATTCGTAAATAAGTTATAGAAAATTCTATCAAGTCGAATGTGATTGGTTTGGATTAAAGCGTGGATGGATGTTATTTTCTTTGATTTTTAAGCGTAGGATTTAAAAAGTGATGTTTCTTAGAATTTCTCCTTAATAGGAATTGTTTCGATTAAATATGGAGCGAAATCGTGACATTTTAACGTTTTTATTCGTGCGATAATAAAAGTGGTTTCGTGACCGATAATTGCGATTATCGCATTTATGACTTCTCTTTCGAATAACCGACTGATCGCTTTTCATTTTGGTTAAATATTTTTGTTTTTTTAAGTAATTATATTTGATTTTTCTAACAAAGAAGTTGTTATATTAATCGGCAAAAGTGGAAAACTAATAGCTATTGTTCTCCTATAATTGGTTTCCGGTGTTTGAATTTTACAATAAGTATCGATGTCGTTTTCATTATGTGCTTTATGTTATGAAGTTTATCAGTTTAACAACAACAAAAAAAAATGAATTATTAATTAAAAATATTAGTATCAAATAATATAAAATTAGATTTTTTTTTTCGAATTTTGTGTGATATTAAATGTAGAATTTTATAAATATATTCCTTTTCTATCATTGACTTCTAATAATAACATATAAATTATGTAGTTTTAATTTAATATTTTATAGGAATAAAAATGCAAAAATTCATTTTTTTTGTTTTATAAATATTTAAAGAACTAAATTTTCACATGTAAAAATAATACAGTATTGAATTTTTAAATGTTTTATAAGCATCAAAATCTTTAAGATTTTTTTCAGACAAGATTATTATTTTTATACTTGTTAAATATTTATAGAAATATAACTGAACTGGTTAAAAAACTAAAAAATAAATCAAAAAATATTGTGTTGAAATTTTCAGAATTAATTTACTAGTTAATTTTTTAAGTTAAAGTTGAATTAATAATAAAATAAAAAGTTCAGAATCTTTTAAGCTTATACAAATCAAATAAAATCTTTTATTAAATGAGCTGTTTTTAAAAATAGATTATAGTATAAAAGAAAAATCATTAATATGTGGAAAAATGTTTCTATTGAGGTCAATAACACTAGATTTTCAAACTGTTGTACCGCTGATCCTTGACGTGATAAGGTAAAAAGAAGGATAAATGCATTGAACAACAAGATAGGGAAGTTATTAAATGGAGGAAAAAAGGAAGTTATAGTTATTTCTATAGACTAGTAGTAATTTTCACGCTCACTTGTCATAAGTTACATTTCAAGGTTATGTTTTCATATACCTTATAAAATATGATTAACTTATTAATAAATTTATAATTTGTGAATATATTTAATGAAATTTCAAGGTCGGTGAACTATCCTTTGCAAAGCATTGAAATAATTCAGTGAGTTTACTATTGTTGTTTATTGCGTGAGAAAACATTTTTTTAATAAAAAATTTTAAAAATTATTAACTTTTTTTTTTTTTCAGTTTTGCTTTTCATGTGTAAAATTACATAACTTGAAATGTATAGTTGTATTATAAAGTTTATCACTTTTAATATTTGTATTAAATTGTAATATTTTTTTCAATAATAGGTATTTGAATAATAAAACTTAATTATGGCTGAAGATGATAACGAAGAAGAATTTTCTGGTCTTTTGCTCCATCAGGCAGCTTTATGGGGAAATGCAGAATTATTGGAAGATCTTTTACATGGTGAACAGGTAATTATTCATTTATTTTGATTAATTGCTTTTTAATTAATTATACAATTTTTATTAATATGTTTCATTTTAAATATAAATAAATAAATATAATGATAATATATTAATAGTGGTGTCATAATCAGTGGAATGAATACTCAAAACAGATTGTAAAACATCTGTAAAATATCTAACTTTGGCTATTTGCCAGTTTAAATAAAGATAAATTATATTGAAAATAAACTAAATTTGATTAAAATGAAATTCGGAGATTCTCCTAATGCCTAATTCACATGTGAAGTGCATAACAACAGATATTTTATTTTATTGATTGAAACTTAATTAAATTTATTTATATACTGTATTTAACATTTTTGTCTAGACTTATTCTTCAGTGATTTTTATTTGAAATAAACTTTTTTTTTAATTTTTATCATTAGACAATTTTATATACCATATTTTATATTTTGAATGTATTAAAAATATAAAATATTTTGTATTGATTGTATTGCTGCTAATAATATTGATTGTATTGTTAATAATTGATTGTATTGCTATGAATAATAATTTGATATACAATCACCCTGATAAATATTACTAATCAGACGTTACATCCAGATTCTTATTGGGCTACTGTGAGGCCTGATAAGAATCTGGCTATAACATTTGATTATCTATGAATAATAATAAAATTACAGAAATGATAAGAAATAAAATTTTTATATAAGTTAAAGTTGAATTAATAATAAAATAAAAAGTTCAGAATCTTTTAAGCTTATACAAATCAAATAAAATCTTTTATTAAATGAGCTGTTTTTAAAAATAGATTATAGTATAAAAGAAAAATCATTAATATGTGGAAAAATGTTTCTATTGAGGTCAATAACACTAGATTTTCAAACTGTTGTACCGCTGATCCTTGACGTGATAAGGTAAAAAGAAGGATAAATGCATTGAACAACAAGATAGGGAAGTTATTAAATGGAGGAAAAAAGGAAGTTATAGTTATTTCTATAGACTAGTAGTAATTTTCACGCTCACTTGTCATAAGTTACATTTCAAGGTTATGTTTTCATATACCTTATAAAATATGATTAACTTATTAATAAATTTATAATTTGTGAATATATTTAATGAAATTTCAAGGTCGGTGAACTATCCTTTGCAAAGCATTGAAATAATTCAGTGAGTTAACTATTGTTGTTTATTGCCATCGAGGTGGCTCCACCTCGCGAGAATGGCGGCAGTTTCTCTCGTATAAGCATAATGGCCGTAGTGTTCGTTCTCTTCGGAAGAGGCTACATTTTCGGTAATGTTTAGAAGTCGTTAACTTTTCTCCAGTTACAAAAAGAGAATTCTTTAANTTATATATTCTCTTGGAAATAAAAGATGTAATTTTATAATTATTTTCTCTATATTATTAAAAGAATATATTCACTCATTCTTAAACAAATTTATTAGCAACAAGAGTTGTTACCCAGTTGCTGATGCAGGACAGATTATAAAACAATTATTTACAAAGATTTTAGAATCAGTAACAATAATTGTTATCAGCAAATAAATTTACTCAAGTTATTAAAATTACCTTATTAGATGATAAAGCAAAAAATTCAATTTTTGCAGTGTTTATCTCCGAACTTTTGAGTACATCAATAAGATAGTTGTACAGTTTATATAGTTCAGGTTTTGGAAGATTATTTGAATTTTGTCTTAAATCTTGAACTGAATTATATTGCACTATTTTTGATATTTTGAATGATTTATGTTTATCAGATAGTTCTTTATAATTTTTTCATTAAAAGAATACCTTTACTAGCTTATTTTTTTTTTTTACATTGTCCAAACAAATTTTTTATACCATTATATAATATTATTTTAAAAAATTATTTATGGAAATGTTAAACTTAAAAAGTGTTTTATTAATTTAAATATATTTAATTTTTTTTACAATTAATGTTCTAAAGTAAATAAAATCTTTTTATTGAGGTGATTTTTTAATAATAATGTTATTTATAAATTGGTATATTATTTTATTTATAAAATCAATACAGTAAATGGGATTTTGGATTAATTTTTTTTAAATTATAATACAGTATAAACTATATAAGTAATTAATTATAAATTTATATAAAAAAGCTTCATTAAAATAATGGCCACAAGTTCTCTTCACTTAGTTATGTATAACTGTTTGTATTGAAATTATTTAAATTTTTGAAATTTTTAAAATATTTTCATACATAAAATAATATACTTTTTAGAAATTTTATAAGAAAAAATTTAATTTAATTTATGGTTGCAAAATTACTTTGGATAAAATTTTTCTTATTAATCTATAGTTTTGATTTTTAATTTATCAAAAATGATTGATTGTAAATGATTAAATGAAATTATTTTATTCAGTTTGTTAATTGACATTTCATACCAAATATTTTAAATACTTTTATGAGATTCAATCTGTTTACTACAATAAATTTAATTAAAAATTTAGATTAAGATAAGACATTTGAATAAAAATTATAGGCTGTGTTATTGGGAATACATCCATCTGTTTTCTTGCAGACAAAATGCTTTTATTAAAAAAAAGTCTTATTACATAACAGAGTTTATTAAATAATCTAATAGTTATAGCTTTCAAATTAAATCAGAAAAATCAATTTTTCCATTTCTTCATTATTTTTCTTTACTGATGTAACTAAACTTTCTCAGTTATTTTACAATAAATAAAATAACTTAGCAATTTTTGTAATTGCTAATTTGTAATGTTTTGTAATTGATCAATTTATAATTTAAATGAAAATCTTTGTAATTGTTCATTTATATTTATATCATCAATAGTTTAAGTAGTCTGAAAAACCAATAAGTTTTATCAGATAATGACTTTTCATACTTTATATTGAAAATTGAATAAGTTTCTTTTAAATAGACTTAAAATTGAAGTAAAATTTAATATAATCAAATTTTAATTTTATAAAATTTAATAGAAAAACTAATACAATAGTTTGAACTATTTTTCCAGTATGTTTTGATAATATAAATATTTAGATTTGCAATCTGTTCCTGAAAACTTGGAAGCTTCAAAATTTATTTTTTAATTATAAATGAAGGCTTTATAACTATTTATAATTAAAAATTATATTTATTTTTAAATGTATAATTTTTTTTATGAAACTAAACAATTGCATTATAGAATAAATTAATATAAATCATAATAGTTTAATTAAAATAAATCTTAAAGTAATTGTTAAATATTGTTAATAATATAAGTTGCATAAATAAATTATAATAAAGATTAGAAAAAGTATATATTTTTTCTTTACCAGAATTTATATTATTATTCAAAAACCTGTATAAATGTTTAAGGCTGTTGAGAGCTTGTACTGTGCAGGACCAGGGTACACTGGGTCCTTTTTGTCTCCTAGTGAGCCTCTTTAGCCTTTTGTTTCTTGAAGAAATGAATTATGTAGAATGTTTATTTATTAATAAAATGGCAGTCTTAAAGATTTTATTTTCTATTAGTAAAAATAACATTAATTTTATAATGGATAAAAATCCTATTTGTATCCCATTTTGTAAAATCCTATTTTGTACAAAAATCCTATTTGTATCCTTATTTTCAAGTATGCTCAAATTAACTACTCACACAAGTAATTTTTTTGTTGTTTAATTGTTGATAATGTATTTTTTGCTATCCTATATTTTATTGCCATTTCTGCTTTTTTAAACTTGTCATCACCTTATCAAAAATTTCTAATTTTGTTTCTTTTCTGAAGACAAACTTTGCTGAACTTTACAATTATTTTTGTATGAGAACTAAACAAAAATGTAGACTGTGATGAACACTTAAGTAATGTACAGTAAATGCCAGTTAATTCTTCAGAAAAATTACAAATTTTTTAGTAAAAAATTGGCTGAAAAATAACATGATGTTAAAAAGAGTAAGATAAAATAAAAAGTTTATCAAAATGATAAAAAAAAAAGTTCAAGTTTATGAAAAGTAACCCAATTTTGGAATTTTTTGTCTAATCTGGCTACCTTTGTCACAACTGCAAAATAAACTGGTTTCTAATCTTTTTCATTTCAATGAACAGCTTCATGCTTTAAGAGAATAGAGATTGAAATTTAACTTTTATTTATTGAAAAATCAAAAAACTGTCCGAAAACTAGTGTTTATTATCCCATACTAGTACACTTGAACAATTCATTAATAAGAGCTTTTAAACATTTTAAAATCTCTAATTTTTTTGCACAGTAATTAAAAAAAATTGAAAATAATAAATTTTAAATTGCATTAAGATAAGGAATTTTTTCCTGTGGGCAATAATCCATTGGTTTGTCTAAAATAGAATTTTATTGCAATTTGAAAAAATTGTAGACCTATAAATTTCCACTGTTATCAATCCATCTGTCTTTCTTTAAGCTTGAGAATGAAGTTAGATAGATGAAATCCTAGACCAGATATGGAAACCTTAGGAGAAGAAGCCTGGATTAACTATATATGAACTTCTGATGCAAACTGGAAGTCATGTTATTTCAATTTAAAACTTCCCCTGAAAGCTGTTAATAGATGACTGGCACAACTCTATTGTTAAAGGAAAAATATGGTGTACAAAGCCAAGACACTACAGTATTAATTTGAGGTGGAGAGCGTATATTTTAAATTAAATGAATTAAAAATATGATTAAAAATTACCATTACAGCCAGGCATTGTGACAATGCCAATAAATATTTGCTTGTTTATTTTTAGAAAACTACAAATGCACAATAAACAGGGTAATAAAACAATAAAATCCATATGTTTCAAATAACAAGGCAATGTCAAAAGCAATTAAGAAATGCTACCTAACAATATTTATTTAAAAACAAAACATTTCTGTATACTCATGTACAGTACATACTCCGGCAACAAAGTCATTGTTTGACCTAAATGTGTTTATAATTACATCTTTGTTTGCTAAAGAACAAAGGATGACTTTGATATCTCATACTAACATCAATAGCATAGAAATGTACTCTGCAGAAGAATCACCGCATGACAATATTACAAAATCAAGACTGAGGGTTCTTCATCAATTTCAGAACTTGCAAAGGTGACAGGAAAAAACATTAAGTGCTCTGATATTTTCAAATGTAATACAGTATGAATGATTTTCATCCAAATTAGTTGATGATGGAGAAGTGTTTTTAAACATTAATTAAGTTTGTTTTTCCAGTGCATGTGTAAATCTTCTTATTGTAAAAATCTGCATTTATTCAATGCACATGCTGCAGAAATGTTTATTGTTTCACATGCTTCTATGACAATTATCATCTGCAAAATTGTGCTCCTGGAAAGCAAACAGATTGAATAATGTTAATAAAAATGTCTTTTTGATTAACAAAATTGGCTTTGGATAATGATAATTTAGTTTATATCTCATCCTCTTCCCAAATAAATTATAAATAAATGTTAGTATGAATTCCATGAATATTTGTATATATTCAATATGTATATGTACAGTACATGAATAGTTGAAAATAATTTTTAAATAAATATAATAAATTTAAAAATATTAAGAATAAATGAAAATTATAGTTTTATATAAAAACAATTACATTGAAACCAATGAGATTCAAAACACCAACCTCATGATTATGAAACTAGTGCCCCCACCAAACCACCAGCCATTCTACAAATGGCAAAAATTCTAAAGGTAATTTTTAACCTTAATTTTCTCACTTTTGAGTATTGAGCATTACTGCTTGGCACATGTCAGTCATTGAGGATTCACTATAACCTCACTGAGTTTGATCAAAATTGGCAATTCAAACATCATGCTGTTTAAACTTTTCTTTTGCCTTTAAGACAATTTCTTTTTTTTTTTTTGCATTCATACACATCAAAGCATTTTTTTTAAAACTCACAGAATATTGTAATTACAATGACATCGTATAGATGGCTTTGATAGTTTAGTCTAACATCTGTCAATTTATTCTTCATTACTGAAGAAACAAGTGCTATTCAGAGCTGATTAAATCAGAACTACAAATTTTACACACTTTCCTTTTCACTTGTAAGCAATTTTACCAATTTGCAAAACAGGAAAAATTGTTAAAAGCAGCTAAATCACAAGAGAAATATCAAGAGTAAATAGCATGTAAATTAATGTAAATTTAAACAATGTTCTATACAATGTAATAAAATGTTTGGTTTATTGTGGAAAATTGTCCTTTTTTTTTCTGAAAAAAACCTCGTAACTCCACCTTGTACCCTCAATCTTGGGACACTTTGTCTATCCTTTGTATTGATGCAATACTGTATTCCACGGGTGGCCAACTTTTATGTACATAAGATCTACTTTTTATCTTAAAAATGTGTTGCGATCGACTTGTTGTTGTAAGCATAGTCTAAGTCAGGGATGGACATTCTGAGGCCCGAGTCGCATAAAATGTGTATAAATATATCAATTTCCTAGCTTAAGAAATATGCAGCAAAAATTCAAATGTTATTTTCTACAACTTATGTGTGTGAATAGTTTTTCCTGTAATGAATTTAGTAAAAATTAAAACGAGAAACTGGCTAACAGACTCACCTCGAAACTAACTTAAAACTAGCAGTGACTAATATTTAATCAAATATTTTTGATACATTACATTTACATCAGTTCTAGAAGCTAAATTAAGTATACCTATTCTATTTTATAATTATATATGAATAAATAATTGTGATTTACCGGAATTTTTTCCTCTTTTTTATCTTGTTTAGTTCAAAAGTTTTGAAATGCGGCCCTTACACAGAAAAACGTTGTCCATCCCTGGTCTAAGTGGCAAGGGGGAGGGAGGTGTGAAATACATACTAAGTTTAGATAGAAAAGAAAAGCCACAATTTAATTTAAAACACGAAGGAAAGGTACTTACATTTTAAACAAGAAAAATTGAAACTCAACGTTGTCACTTTCGGGGACCACCACTTCACCCTTCTTCTCTCTACTGTATCCTGACCTACTCTCTCTGTCCCTTCTTTTTTTTTGGTTATATGACCCTTTGTCTACATTTCTTATTCCTCTTTTACAACTGTACGCAAATGGATTGCACATGGACCGACAAAACCGCATCTGAGGGAGAATGAGGAGATCCGATGTCACTACAGTTGCGTTTGCGCATTACATTTACGCGTTGTGTTCAGTTACAACTTACAAGTGTAACATATTAAGTCAAGACATCGCAAGTGATCGACTAAAATTGGTTTTGCGAATGACAGGTTGATCGCGATCGACTTGTTGGCCACTCCTGCTGTATTCTATAATCTATTTGTGAAAAAAATCCCAAAAAATTAAATAATTAAATAAAAAATTTATTGATGTAATTATTTGTATCCAAGCTTTGCCTCTGTATAGAAAATTTTCTGTGGATGTCCATGCACATAACCCTCTCTTATTTGTTGACTAGCAAAATAATAATGATCTTGAAATAGATCTTGAGTAAAGGCTGATATATATATACATTATCTTCTTAAGATTTTTAGAGTATCAAATATCAAGTAAAAACAATTTGGTTAAATAAAGATTTATTTAATTAATTAAAGCAGTTTTAGAAAATAAATTTTTCCCAAAATTATTTACAATAAATGGTTTTGCTTTCAAATTACCTATATCAAATGAACAATTTATTGCATTCACATAAAAAATAAATTAATAAAAATGAAGAAAATGGAATATTATAATATTTTGGATACTAAATATAAAACAGAGAGGAAGTTTTTTTTTAATATTTATCAAGATGTGAAATTTCAACAAAAATAAACTTAATTAAATGAATGTTTCAACCATCATTGAATGGTCATCATCAGATCGCATATCATAATGAAATGTAATTCTCAGGATCTGTTTCACCAAATCAGTTGCAGTTCTATTGAAATTTTGTTCTATTTTATGACCTAGATATGTGATCTGATGATAACCATTGATGGTTGAAGACTTTTGTTTATTTTTCTGGAATATCAAGGTATGTTTTCCATTGTAATCATTGTTTAGTTTTGTTTATGTACATGAATCTCTTTAATGAATACTTGGAAGATTTTTGTGACAAATATGTAATAATTGTATATTTTTTTATTTATAGTTTATTTATTCTTTAAAATATTTTTAAACTTTGTTATATATAAATATTCTTTTATTTCATGACTATCAAAGTTGCAATATCTTAATGCTATGGATTCTTTGGGAAGAACAGCCCTACATGCTGCAGCAACTAATGCAAATGAAACTTGTACAAGAATTCTTCTACAAGCAGGTGGTACGTATCACAGTTAATATCATTTGATACTCTTAACTTGAAAATTTTATTAAGCTATAACTAAATGATTAAATACAAAAATATTGCATTCAGCAGAGAGATACAACAATCTTATTTTATTACCTAATGCTTGCCGAGAAAAATTGTTTATTGAACATTTTCAACTTATTATCAAAGGTCATCTTCAGGTAATGATTTATTATCGAATGTAAAAACCTGCAGATGGCCTATGATAATAGGTTGAAAATGTTTGTTCAATAAACAATTTCTCTCAGAAAGCATTTGGTTTGAAGTAAGACTGTTGTAAATAATTAAATAACTGAGCAAATAATAAAAATTTAGCATTTAATACAAAATGTTTATAGAACTATCAATGTTCTTGTTTGTAATTATTTTTAATTTATTTCCACAGTATTATTTTTAGGAAGTAAATTTTTTATATGTACAAGAACTTTGAATGGAATAATTTATTAATGTTCAGAATTTGAAAAAATGAATTTTATATTGTTATTATCTAAGTGGATTCCAGCATTTAAATTAAAAAAAAATCACATATATTCAATAAGATACAGTAGACTCAATAACTCAAAGTGGAAGAGACAGAAAGATATTTATGAGTTAATGAAATTTCAAGTTATGGAAACTAACATTGTTTTAGTGAGACTGTAAATGTCACAATACAAACAATATAAGTAGACTTAAATACATTATATTTTATTCTTATTTAGATGTGTATATGTATAAAATAACAAAACATTGACACTGTTGGTGAAAAAAGTCTGTTACACCAGTTTGTTATGGATGATTAATTGCTTCTTTCATATGATGTTTTTAGTGTATTGATCACTTTGAAAGCATCTTGTTTTATGAATGACTTAGATTTTAAATAAGAGCAAAACAGCTTTTAACATTTCTGGATTCTCTACATGTAGGGAAAGCAGGATATTTGTCCTTGACAGGATTTATTTTTTTCTTTATTTTCATCACTTGTTTCTTTATTTCATCAATGATGTCATCTACAGATAAGTGTTCACAGACAGCTAAGTTATTGTCAGCATTAATAAAATCTTTAAATTACACTTTTTCATTAGTCATTATTGTATGAAATCAGCAGTTTTCAATATAGTCAATGGATTCAAATGGAAATATCAATTTATTTGAAATATCAACAAATTGTTGACTGAAATTGGTTTTTATAAAGCATTTTCCAATAGTGTTTCATGGAATGTCATTCCAAACTCTGTTAGTCATTCATATTGCATCTAGAAGGTTTCCAAAGGAAAAGTTTGCTACTGCGTGGAAACTTTGCAATCAATTTTCATTACACATAATTTTTTATGGGAAATTTTTGCCATTCTCCTATTGATCAATTATATGATTCTCCTAGGCCAAATTAAATTTCAAAATTAGATTTAAAAAGAAAAAGGTTCAAAAAGAGTTAGAAATTTTCTTTGAGATATATTCTAAAAATTGATAAACAAAATAGTCAATGCTAAAAGTAGCACTCTCTCTGATGGAGAGTTATACTGACATTAAATGGATTAGCCCAAAAGGATCCACTTCTTACTCATATAAGACAATAGAAAAAACTGTTTTTTGAGTGTAAATATGATTTCACTTTAATAATATATTATTAATTGTTATTGAAGCTGGATTAATCTACATATTTTATAGGTTTTATATATCAAAACTTTAATATTGAATAAACTTTATGAATGTAATTTTCTTAAGAACAGGATCAATTTATTATTTTCTGTGTTTCTCGAAGGATGTGTTATATGTATTTATTAAAACAAAAGTATTTTTACATGTTTAGTTTGAATATGATAGATGATTCTGATGATTCAGATCTTTTGGATTGTTAAGTATCCAAAAGATCTGAATTAGTACAGAAATATAGAAAGAAGCTGATTTAGACTCTCATGTATTTAAAAGTATTTGTATTTGTATATTTCTTTCATTTATTTTTGCACTGAAAGATTATTAAATTAACAGTTAAATTAAATTTTATGATTCAATAGATGTTACAATTTTATCCTTTGTCTACATTTCTTATTCCTCTTTTACAACTGTACGCAAATGGATTGCACATGGACCGACAAAACCGCATCTGAGGGAGAATGAGGAGATCCGATGTCACTACAGTTGC